GAGTGACTCAGAATGGTAGATAGTCGGCCGCATGAGTGTGATCATGGGCGAACCCGCCATCAGTGGCATGTTGGAGTCTCTAAGCGGAGACCAGCAGCATGCTGCTATCAACAAGTTCCTACAAGGGGAACTTGCCGTCGAAAGACAGAAGATAGCCTTGCTACAACAGCAAAGCTTTCATCGGTCGACGGGCGGGCCGACGCACACGCGTCGACCCGAAACCTTGAAGATAGATATTTCAAGGTACAAGGGTACCGGTGAAGATTTCCTTTTGAGATGGTTCGTCGAGCTAGACGACGCCATCAGGGCCCGTCACATCGAGGGTGACGAGATGCAAGTCATCTTCGCCCTGTCGAACTTGACAGGACGAGCAAAGAATTGGGTCTTAAAGCTCAAATTCACGACCCAAATGTGTTTGAGTCGTTGGAGATCTTGAAGTCTAGGCTAAAAAAAAACTTTGAGCCACCAAGAGCCGAGTTCAGAGCACGCTCTGCACTCCTGAGGCTTAAGCAAGGTAAGCGTGATTTGCATGATTACGCACAACACCTATGCTACCTCGCGAGTAGCATCACGGAAAACCCTGTTGATGACCACACGCTCATCAACGTGTTCATCTACGGCCTTGTGGATAGGCCGATGAAGACCTACATGTTCCGAGAGGACTTCCATACGCTGGATAAGGCGATAGCGTGTGCGGAACAAGAAGACTTCAGCCTAAGACAGTCTTAGGCTAACTCGTTCAACTATCGTTCGACGATACGGCAGGAAACAGGAGGTCCCGAACCAATGGACCTCTGTTACACCGAGAGCGAGAACCCTCGCTCTCTGAGTCACAAGCAAACGGCAAGATGCCATCGCTGTCAGAAGATTATGCACTACGCTCATGAGTGTAGTGTCTCAAGCACCGCATCACGTCCAAAGACAGGACGTGATGACCGCCGTTGACCGAGGAATGGTCCAAGGCGCGGGTCCGAACATGTCGCAAAACCGCGACAGCAAGTCGGACCGCCAAAAAACGGACAGGGTCAGTAGAGGCGGAGCACCCTGCTGACCCAGCAACGTCAAGAGAATTTGTAGGACTCTTGACGAAGATTGCTCCCAACACACAGTCGCTTTGTGTTACTGCTCCTAGAGATGAGGTGTCGCTCATCACTTTGAAGATCGAAGTGACAAGTGGAATGTCACTTCGCGCCCTAGTTGACTGTGGGGCGTCGAACTGTTTGACTCGACGCCAGTCGCTAGAGGATGGTAGACTCAAGCATGTTGAGCGAGAGTTCCCTCCAACGAGGATGACGGTGTTCCTTGCTACAGGCGCATCCGAAACATTGAGCAAACGTGTAGTGGAATCCACTACACGTTATAGGTAAAGCAGTACGATGATGACTGCCTCGTCTGGATTTGGATGACAAACTTGATGTCATCCTCGTTCTACCATGGCTTAGAAAGTACCAGCCATGGATCAGCTAGCAGCATCGATCCGTGAAGATGCCTGCCGTTTTCCCATCAGATGGCCATCTGATGAACGTCTTGGAGCGTCCACAAGCGTGTGGATGTACTACGAGTGAGTGCGATGGCCTTACTTGTGGTACGGTCTTTAGTATGACTGCACAATATCACAGTGTAGGAGGCCACTACACTGTAGAACCAGCTTCCAGCACTTGTGTAGAGACACAGGCTGCGCCAAAGGTTCAACAATCGAAGAGACCGAGTGGACTGGAACACGGATGCACACCACGAAAGTTGCATCCAAGAAGAGAGGTTAGTGTTGTTCAGGATGAACAACACGATGAATCGAGATCGACTAATAGAGAGTCGATCGTAGAGCAAGCCCGATCGACTAAAATAGTGTCAATCGAAGAGGACGTGACTGTGGTAGTACACCAACAGTCAGTACACGTATTGGAAGAAAGTTCCAGGGTTCCTGAGAGTGATAACTCCCAATAGAGTTATGTTGAGGGTGTGGATCCCCAACCACTTGCGGATGTGTTTTTCCAGGAAATCACCGAGACAGTGAATGTCTTGGTAAATGACGGATCAAGTGTAGGTGCTTATGCACTTGATATGGTTACATCTACGGAGTCAGCTTCGGAGGTAATCAAGTTGTCAATGCTAGATTCTAATAAATTCTTGCGAGATATGCGCAGTGACAAGATCAAGCGGATCTGCGCACTCGCCACAGAGGACGAGTACGTTGCCGATATTCGGTCGGCACAAGTGTATACTGAGAACGAACGGGTTCTCAGTAGCTCATCAATGGACGAGAGTGTCCTCAATGAGAAGACCCGGATTGAGCGATACACGTCTCAATCTTGGTAGTCTTCAAAGACAAATCCTTTGTATGAGGATTTGGTCGAATTCAGAGATGTTTTCCCTGAATTCATGCCATGCGAGCTGCCCAAGGACAAAGGCACTCGACATGAGATCGAGCTGAAACCCGGTTAGAAGTACTGTGTCATGAAGCAGTGGCCACTGCTTCGTGAACAGGTAACAGCGATCGACAAACTCTTTGCCGATCGTTCAGCGGCTTGTCGTGTGAGGGAATCAACACATCACACAGCTCTCCAACCTTCTGTGTGCGAAAGGCCACAGGAGAATGGCGGATTGTGCATGCATTTAACAAACTGAACGCTGCAACAGTACCGGCTCAAACGCCGATCCCAAGAAAGGACGTCATCATAGATGTAATGGCAAAGAAAACCATCTTCTCGTTCATGAATTTGATGGATGGATTCTATCAGATCCTCATGCGTGAACGGGATATCCTTTACACAGCAGTGAGCACCCCAGCGGTATTCTCTGGGAGTGGCTAGTGATTCCACAGGGGCTAAGTAACGCCCCCGCAACTTTTAACAGATTTGTTACAAATCTGTCGCGATCGGTGCGCAATTTTGCACCGAGTTAATTCGACGATGTATTCGTCCATAGTCGGGCTATGGATGGAAAGACGGACGTGGAAGTTCATAGAATCCACGTCCGGAAGGTTCTTTGCTCTAATGCGAGAGCATAAGTTGTTCGCGAACCTCAGGAAGTGTATATTAGCAGCGAACTTAATGCCTCTTCCTGGCTACATCGTGGGTAAAAACGGTGTACGCCCTGATCCGGAAAAATATCAAGGCGATTAGCGACTGACATGTGCCAGTCGATGTCAAGGGACTTCGAAAGTTCCTTGGCTTGGCGGCGTACTTGCACAAATACTCGCGCAACTATGCCGAGATGACCGTAAATCTCTCTCGTCTGTAAAACGAGAGGTGGTCACGGAGTGTTGAGTGTCAGCACTCCTTCGAACGTATCAAGAAAAGCTTGGTGCAACCGCCTGTGCTGGCGATTGCAGACCAGAAAAGACCATTCCATGTGGTCTGTGACGCCAGTGATTTTGCAATCGGCTGCGCGTTAATGCAGTACGACTCGGACGGCGTTGAGCGCGTCGTCTGTTATCAATCGCGTCAGCTACTAGCACCTGAGCGTAAGTCTCAATACTGCTCTTCAATCGAACGGATTTCCGTTCTAGATGGACTGGTGTACTAAACAGCAGTCAACAGCGACACGCCCCGTCTCGTCGTTCCCGCTCATAATCATCTGCGATTGCGCATCATGTATGAGTGTCACGATGCCCCAAAAATTGTGCACCGCCGGAGGGAAAAGACTTACCTCGCGATAAGTCGTGACTTCTACTGGCCCCTCCAGTATAAGTTTGTGCGCAAATGCATTCGCGCTTGCGAAGTTTGTCAACGGGTGAAGCCTAGTCCTTCATCCCACGCGCTTTTGCAGCCTCTACCGATTTTGGCAGAGTGCTGGCAGTCCGTATCGATGGAGTTCGTCGTTGGGTTTCTCAAAGACACCCACAAGAATACTGGCATTCTTGTGTTTGTTGATCAGTTCAGCAAGACGGTACATATTGTTGCTGTACCGGAGTCAATCACAGCCCAGGGCTGTGCGCGTGTCTTCATCGATACTATCTTTCGACTTCACGGGTTACCCTGTGAACTCTTATGGAAACCCCCGCTCCACAGCGGAGTTCTGGCAATCCGTGTTCCGTTCACTTGGAACACGTTTGACAATGTCAGCTTCTGACCATTCAGAAATAGATGGTCAGACGAAACGCGTCAACCGCGTCCTCAAAGAGATACTCCGAGGGTATGTCCACTCGTTTACGAGCTGAAGTGAGTTCTTGCCGATGGCGGAATTCGCCATCAACAACTCGTTGCATGCGTCGACAACGCATACACCGTTCTTCGTGAATGGCCTACTCCATCCACGTTTACCCGTCTTCTTAAAGTGTGACTCTAGTTTAGCGGGGGGGGGGATTTGCTCAAACGAAAACCGATCTGGTTCTTGATCATCTCCCGTCGACAACAGTGTCGACGTGATGGTTGCCGATGTCGATGCGATCGACATCTATGATGATGATGACGAAGGCGCTGGTATATTCAGCATCGCCAAATGACTGCCACATTGAGGACGATGACGCTCTCACTGATGAAGACAACGTTGTTTCAGCAGTGCACACGAAGCGCACTGCTGTTAACAAGGATGGGTCGGCAGAGGAAATTCTGCTGACTCGTGAAGCGGTTGTCTGCTTCGTTCAAGACTCTATTGCAGATGCAATAGACAGACAGAAGAGAAACCCATACAAACATGGAAGAGCAACTGTTCTTTCATTTGATGCAGGAGACCTATTTTTATTGTGTTTAGTAAACCTACTGAAACAGCAGTGACAAACTTGGACAGCAGTAAATTACTGCCCAAGTATGTCAGTCCATTCGTGTGTTGCGCCACGTGGGCAAGGCATACACGATTGAACTGCCACATAAGATGCGTACGCATCCTATATTTTACGTTGGTCGTCCCCGCCCGTACTATCAGTACGAGCCCGTTTCGAGATGCGAAGAACACCTCGCGGTCGAGAGTCGAGACCACCTTCGCGTGGTCCCGTTTCAACGAGCCAGTCTGGTCGACTAGCGGAGCGACCTGTTCACGCAATTGAACGATTTCTCGACGAGCTACAGCCAGCTCGTCACGAAGAGAACGAGTCGAGCTTTCGGTCTCAAGTTGCGCAAAGACAAAAGCGGCACGATCGTCCGAACAATCGTGCATTGGGGAATTGTCTCATAACGCCGAGTCCGTTCGTGAGCCAGGTCATCTTGCAACTGATCCGATACACGGTTCAGCGCTTGCACATCAAGCTGATCCGACCCTCGAGCCGGATCAGGTGTTCCCGCCGCCACCACATCCTTTGGTGGACTCAAGCGGTGGTCAACGCTTCCTAATGGGGTGTATTTTGAACCATCGCGATGTGAATGGCGTCCGGACGAGTTACCTCGTCCGCTGGCGTGGCTATCCACCGGCGTGGGACAGCTGGGAGCCTCGTGCCTAGCTGATTGTTGAAGTCCTTGTTCTCGTCCAGCAGTACGACGAGACCCACCCGCTGCGTTCGAAGAAGGGCCGTCGGATAATGACCTCCTCGAACGCGAGTACATAGATTGCAAGGTGTTTAATCCTTCGGCCATCTCAGAAGAGATGCGCGCCCTCCAGTAGGGATCTTTAGGGAGGTAGGCCTCCCTATAGACACGGTTCGAGTTGTCCAAGCAACCTGGACACGAATCATCCCACGAGAGACAGGGTAATCCTGCCTCTCTTGACAGCCGGTGCGACTTGTATTGCGCCCCGACTGGGTCACGCTTCTCAAACCTGATGCGAGCTGCATCAAGTTTGGCGAGCCAGGCCTCACAGCCAATGCACTCGATGTTGTGCATGAAGGCATTCCATACTTGCACCAAGGCCTATCCCTCTCGAACACTATTGCCATTGTACCACCGATGTTTGAAGAGCGCATCGGTGAAGAACTCTTCCTCAGCACGGATAGTTTCCGCGCTGGAATTAGGAGGACAGGTCCTTTTACAGCCGAACAACGGGATTCAATCCCGTTCGGTAGTCATACCAGCCAACCGGTCCAACTCTCTGGATGACGGCATATACGGACACTCCACTTGAGGAGCGTGGCGCAGGATATTTCGGTCCCTGGCCTCTTGAGTAGTTTCAGCACGAGCACTGACACCAGTGGCAGCTTGCTCTTTCGAGTTGCTGCTCTCGTGGTAATGCATAGGGGCATAACCACGATCATCACGCGTCCTATCGTCGGATGTACTTGCGTGAGGCGGGAATCGACAGAACAATCGCTCGGTCCGAAGATCTCGGACATGATGCCGCTACGTTTCCCAGAGCCAGTCAACCTGGCTCTTGCAGTGTCCGCTTCGGGTGATCCGGAGTCGTGGAGATCCGCATTCGAGTCGGATGCATCATTCGACTCGCCAGATTAGATGAGCTCTATTTTAGGCTCATCAACATTGCGGTTGCAGTACCCGCTGCAGACGCAGCGGATGTATATGTCGCACGTGGTGACTCACCTCGTGGACTGTTCACAACAGCAATTGGCTGTTGCTGAAGAGCAACAGCAATTGGCTGTTGCTGAAGAGCAACAGCAGGCAAAGGATCACCTGCTGCCGAAGCAAGGGAAGAACTCTATCTGGCTACACGCATGCGTGCAACCTCTTTTCTTGCTGCTACGGCAGCACATCGCATGGACTTTGACACCATGCGATGGATTGGCAAATGAATATAATTTGACCAACGAGTGCTCCCTTTCACAGAGTGATCCAACGGTCTTCACCCTGCATCAAACAGTTAAATTCAATCCACAAGTGATTGATGGTTGAGAGGGGGGGGGTGATGTAACGGGGTAGCCCGTTACATGATATCGACACCAAACGGTGTCAATAGGGAGATTATCTAGCGTGACAATATCCTACCAGTATTATCCGAGATGAATAATATTGAAGGAATATTATCACCTTGTAGGATAATATCCGTGCGCTGCTCAAAGATTGGCTGTTAAAAACATTTAACCAAGATAACCACACTTGCTGCTAGGCGCGCGCAATGAGTGGTGAGCAGGTTGTCGTCATACGTCAATGTAGACTAACATAGCTAAATAAAGACTAAAGTTATGTTGATAGCTTAACTATATTGAATACACTTCTCTTTTTACCCTTTACTTAAACAAGTTGTCCGAGTCGATCAGCTTCCTCTTCACGTACTATTGTACGTGAACTTTCGCGGCACCCCAAACAAAGGGTGCCTCTTTAACTATTTCTCGGTTCGGTTCTCCTAGAATTCATGCTGCGTAGGGTCAAGAGGCAACAACTTCATAGTGTCAACGTTGGTAGCGCAGTGAAATGAAAAAGCAATGGCAATTTTCGAATTAGCGCGTACGTCAAGGTTGGTAGGGCGTCGTAAAGAAATGCAACATTTCTGCGAGGGATGGCGACTCGAATGCTACGATGACGAATCAAGGAGAAAACCGGTTGTTTTGAAATGCCTATACTTTTTATCGCCGATACATGGAAGAGTAAAGCTGGGGTAAGCGTAAAGCGGTAGTAAGCGTAAAAGCGGTGTTCATTTGTTGTCGCTTCAGAATGGAGCAAGACAAGTTATTTGCAAGAAAGGCGAATGTTGCCTTGAGACGATGGTCAACATCAATCGGCTTTGTGCCAGCGGCATGTACCGACAGTCGCGCGTGGTTCCAACTTGAGTTTTTGCCATCGTTTAGTCGTAGCTGATGGGACGATTTCGTCGAGCAGTAGCTGCCATGTTATGATGTGTACGGATTTGTTCTGCGAGGCTCCATCCAATCTTTGCGAATACAAGTTGCCATAGACCCCGAATCGTGCGGGGTCAAGCAAACGCAGCTTGACTCTCCTAGCGTACGGGACGTAGCCACTAGTCGGACCTACCCTATGGCCATTTCAGCCGACCTGGAACTAGATCACGGATTCTTTGGTTTTTTCGGTGATGTTGATACAAAGCTAAACGCGTTCGGCGTCGGCAATTCAAAGGATGACCACAGTTTTATTCGATGTGTGGTAGATGAGGAACACATCGATTGCCATCAGATAGTTGGTTCCATCGATACATACCGGTCTTTGATGTCGAGAATACATGGGATGAAAGATGTTAGATGTTTGGGACGCCTCGTCTTCCACGGTAGTATTAGATGACGTGTTACCATGACACGCGAAGCATGTCATCGAGCCATTGTAGATAAAAATCCTGTGGACAAATCTGAACGGCAGGCCGTGAACTGGTGTGATTACTGACGCGGTCTAAACAGCAGGCGGGATCAATGCTGGGTCGAAATGATCGGCAAAGGCATAACGTAACGTCGACTGAGGCAAAACTTGAAGTGGTGTCCACGATAACGTGACATGAGTACCACTTCTGACTGGTCACAAGAGCATAAAACCGTTGAACAGGGTAACAACCGCATGAGTGAGTTACGTCAACGCAACACAAATCCCGCTCCACCAGTTCACGCTAAAGCGGTTTAATTGCTGACTGACGAGTCACCAGCGGATCGAACTTGCCTAGACACGCTTGATGCGTCGTCACTTCGCCATGGTGTGCTACCGACTTTTTACTTCTTCTTATGGTTTTAGATACAACTCTTTGAAGTTGAGTTCGTTGGCAGCCCACCAACAACTGAAGCTAAGACGTCTACGATTACAGACCTCAACTCGTCTGTACACGGACTTCCAAGCGTCCGCGACTTGCTGCCAGCCAAAAGTCGCGTCCAGATGGAAGGCACCGATGCAACAAACCACTTTGATTACATATTGCAGACGAGGCGCGAGGTAAGCTGGCCGCGGCTGTCGTTGTCCAACTGTGTGCCCCTCGTGCTCTGCAAGTGCGGTCCCCGAGCAGACTGGCACAAGACAGGTCGTTGTGTCAGCTAGAAGAAGCCAAATCATGTCAAGGCCGATATAGGACATTACTGACATGCCGTGCCACGGCCACTTGTGCGGCCTACCGCTCACGCCCTTGATCAGCTCAGACTAATCGCAAAAGCCTTGGCCAACGCACGCACGCAACCGACCTTAGAGCAAAAGACTGTTCTGCAACTGCATTTCCATGCTTTTCTAGAATATAGGCAAGGCGTTCGCCAAGCATCTGTTGTCATGGATGGACGATCGTTTCCCGAAACAATTAACGCCGACTTTCTACTGCTGACTAAAGTGCTGATGCTAATGCAACGACAGACAACACAGCTCCTCGACCTCACGACAACATGTTCGTCGAAGTTTCTCGGAAGTTGAGAAAATTTAGCGAGGACATGGACGACGGACAACTCTTGTCAGACGGTAGAATAGGCAGGCCATGAAAGACTACGCTTGTGACGCCGTGGATACCCTGGATGGATGCTGTCACAACTGCATCAACGAAATTCGAGTCTGGTCGGCATGTTCCTCGACGACTTGACAGCCACTCTTGAGTCATATTCGTGTTCAGAGGCACGATACAGACTTGTTTGTGGCATCACATCGGAGAAAAAAGCTGCGGCTCTGCGCTTACTTTATTCCCTTCTTCTTCGTCGAGTCAGAGCGTGACACATGGATCCTCAGGTGCGACTTAAGATCCCAAGCGGCAAGATGTGCGGCGTACTGCAGACTCAGCATTTACTGAATACCTCGAGCAACAGCGTCACGATCAGGTCCGGTGTTGTAGGTGTAAACGGACACCACGGCACCTCTTTACCCATCTACGACAACCTTTTCACGACCAGGGATGCACATGGCACGAGTATATTGCATGTCAATGCGTTCTGTATGAGTATGCGTTCGGTCTTGCAGCTCTACAACTCTGCTGAAAGTATGTAGTCGGGTGAATGAAGAGGCCATCCAGATTTTTTACACAAGCAGGAGGTGTAAGCACTATTGTCAGTCAAATAGATTGTCTCATCAACTAAAAGTCGTCCTGTTCTACATAAGCGTGCCAACGCGAGAGGATTGCTGCTGTTTCTGCCAGTCAATCTCTCCACTGTGCGCTGACAGTGGTTGGTTGGTGTGACGCTATTGTTTCGACGATTAAGATTGAGAAGTTTTGACACGGAGTAAAATGGCTTTAGTCTCCACAATTTCAAGCTATTGAGACCGTTGCCACCCACGTACTGCATGAAAGAACTCGGCGAACAAACATGTTTCGTAACAAATACCACCAACTACGGGAAGAAGAGCATCCACGCAACCTTTTACAACGAAGCTACACAGCAGACAGGTACACGTTTTTGTATTTCAGGCTATCAATTTGACCAAGTGGTATGAAGTGGGTCATCCCTCTGCGAGGTCCCACGTGCCAGCGTTGCACACCTGCGTTCGTAGCGTCGCGTTCTTTGGACACGGTATGGCCACCACAATGTGGGATCTCATAAACAGGCGACTCATGCGATGGACAACAAGGTTGAAGAAACGCTGTGCATGGAGCTACCAAGCCACAGTCATGTCAAGTGAGAGAACTCAACACCTAATCCTGTGTTTTCTCTGAAACCGCTTCGTTGCTCGTCAACTGGCTGCAGGAGTTCAGTGGACGACGTCGTCTCTGTGCCTCCTATATTATAGCCTTACGTCCATATCCAAGCTACCACCAAAGGAGAAAAGCAAGAGGTGGACCTCTGGACGTGGTTGGTTGAGCGCCACCGATCACCGACTATACTCCACTGCAACAGCCCCCGACACTTGATTCATGCCTCTGCAGAGGTTCCACAACGACGCCACGCTGCACTTCGGATGGCCGTCAAGCGATCTCTTTCGAATTGCCACCACCTTTTTCTGTCAAGAGAGGGACTTCACCGTTTCTAACGTGCACCTACCGCCCGACTTTCTGCCCGTCGGAAGGACATCGGCCCTACTACCATGCGGACGAAAGCTCAGTCGGTCACTCAGGTGGTCATTACTCAATTCATCTTCTTCCTTCACTTTGCGATTCGCTTCAGCAGCGCCATTCCATCCTAGTCTCCTCTTTAGTAGTACGACAACTCCACAAGCCCGTCATGACCTTCACGATGGAATGGGAAGCTTCACTGCCCGTCTGGATCGAATCAATCAACATCGACATGGACGGGATACCCGAATCCGATTCGATGGTCGCGCTTCTCATGGAGATGGACGACACTCTACTACCCTCCACTCCTAAGGTGGAAAACTCAACGACGCACTCGATTGAGCAGTACTCCCCGTCCAACCACTTGCTGGACGTCGCAACAATGGTTGATACCAACCTGAAAGACATTGAGGCGACTCCGAAGAGACCCACAAAAGACCTGACTATGTCGACGCTCAACCCTGTCAAGAACAAAACAAGCACCAGAGCCACTCGTCGGGTGGATCCTTTCGGTCGTGACCAGCGATGCAAGAACAAACGACGGGGCTACGAGATAAACTATCGTAAACAACAGAAAGGCAGACGCGACAACGGTCAAATCGAATGGGTTCAACTCGAGATCCAGCTACGAGAAATGCTGGCAAAGCGGACGCCGGTGGTCGTTGGAGGGTCAAGCGAGACCTCAAATTATGAAATGAATACATCGATCCGTCAGCGGTATCTTGAGTTACTTCAAGAGGAACGAGCCCTGAGAGAGTCCATGGCACTCGACAACTGCTGCTGGGCCGAAACTCAAGCACTGACGTTTTGGGGAGGAGCCAACAGCAAGACGCAAGATATTCGGGAAAAAATCAACACGCTGCCGAGTCTATGGGGGTGCCTCACATTCGTCTTTTCCTGGTAAGAGAGATAAAGAGAGAGAACAATGCAAATGAAACGAGATCAACTCTGTTTGTTTGGTCGTTGGCTGCGTCCATTTTTTGTATCTGTGTACTAAGAGTTTTGCTGTACGACGAGGAAGAGTCAAATGTACTTGAGTGTCGGATGTTTCTACAGTGCATTGAGATTGATTGATGGGCATTTAAGTGCATGTGGTCACAGATCTTCGCACAGCTGGCTGCTTTGAATCAACAACAATATTTCGACAGCTGTTCGGGTACAGGGAGCGTATGCTGACGAGCTAGTATCGAAGAGATCAATAATGCCAAGTATCGTTTGAGCAAGCCTAAGCTGTGGGGAATGTCCATAACAAAAGATGCACAGCGCTCCGATCATGGCGGTGTAAAGTGCTTAATGTCATTCGCATTTGTATTAGTCAACAAAACGCAATCATCTGGATGTAGGTTCGAGGTTCTTGCCATAGGTGATGATGACACGTATATGAACATTCGACTTGTCTTCAAGTCTGACATGGGTACCCGGCGATCGAAAGAATTTGAATCGTGAACCCGAATCTTTTGCTCCGACTTTGCAAAGTTTACCCGTGTTTGGCATCACAACGCTCAGTACTGGAGGCCAGAGACGAACAGACGAAGGCATTGAGTTTTGCTTATCGAACTAGAAAGACAGTGAGGAGATTGAGAGGTCCTCTGGACTTTTTTGCCAGTGATGGCGGCTTGCGATCAGAAGACCGCGAGCTTATACGGCAGATGGGCGTCGGAGTATTGATCAGACCGTGGCTGTAACGGGGCACCCTGAAGCTTGTACTGGTGATAGTACAAGCTACTTATTCTGATGACAGAATAAGGCGGTGCCTCGTAACTTCACGTACACTCGTACGTGCAGAGGAAGACGGTAAGAAGAAGCGAGTACTTGGTTAAAGTAAAAAGTAGAACTGTATTTATAATAGTTAATGTCTGCAATAAATCACTATTTATCTTCATCTAACTATGTCTAAATACAAATGTGTATATCAACTATCTGCTCACCACTCATTGCGTGCGTCTGTCGTGGCGCGTCTTCGTTGGTTGATATAATGGCCTATATCAACCAGTTAGGAACTACTTGTAAGTGCTACAGAATATTTGTCCTTATGACAATATTCTGAGAATATAACTCTTATAGTTATATTCTATTAACAATTTCTTATAAATTGTTATGTAACGATTCACCCCGTTACATCACCCCCCCTTAACCATCAGTCACTTTAGTGACTGATTGACTAAATGGATACTCGTCCCAAATCATTTGGGACGGGGTTTGCACTTGTTGGTCCGAGTCCACTTTCCAACAATTCATCGCATGGTTAACAAGCCCATGCGGTGCGCGAACAAGGCAGCTGAGAGCGCGTCCGCACGTCTCTGTGCGGATGCCGAAGCAGAAACAACAGCAACTGATGTCTCATCGGTTGCTGAAGCGACCCAGCCTGTGTCACTTGGTGATGCAGGCGCTGGTCATGAAGACACTCGTGTCTTCACAGAGTACGAGCTCGGTGTCTCGTACTCTCCTGATACGGATGACGGATCCGTATCGACGGCGATTGAATCTAAGCCGCCTGCCAAGCGTGGCATGGACGATGCTTTGCGTCGCAGCATCTTTGGTTCATCTGATGAATCAGATGAACCATCGCCGAAGAAAGCGCTCGAGATCGCGAGACTCGGGCGCTAATAGTGGTGTCGGTTCTCCTATGGACACCACTTCACAGCGAGGTGCCAGTACTTCTGTCGGCACGTCGCAGGAAGAGCGGGACCGCCATGTGTTGCGTCTCGCTCCTGAGAAGAAGGCATGGATGCCTCCTAAATCAGTCATGGATCACTTGTCGGCGACGACGAGTGATCGCTATCGAACACGATTGTTCGATTCGTCAAGGATCCATCACCTTGACCCCAGCGCGAAAAACTATCGCGCTGAACATGAATTCTTCATCGATGCTTTCTTTAGACATCGATGGTACAGTGGGAATCACAAACGTGATGGTCCCTCACTACTTCAGGCGTGGAACGCCTACATCCATAACCTCGAGGATGTAGGTCGTGACGCTTGGAACGACAAACTTATCAAAGCTCGTGATAAGTTTGAAAAGCGAACCCCGACAGGTGCACGCTACAAGCTGCATCGTCTGTCAAGGGAGAAAGGATTACCCTGCCTCTCTTGGGGAGACTCGTGCCCATGTTGTGTGAACAACTCTGCACGAGCACCTAAGGAGGCTTACCTCCTTACTAGCCCGTGGTGGCGCGTACGTATCTCTACTGAGATGTACGAAGGGATTGACAACCTGAAATCGCTTTACGACCGTGCTGGGAAGACTTTCTCCGGCGGTCCTTCTGCGGCACAGGATGTGCCGCGTCGTACTGCTCAACCAGACCCAGTACGTCGATCATCAGTTGGGAGAGGGGCTCCCAAGTATCCCAGGACGGGGGATAGCCGCGCCACCGGACGAGATAACTCGTCCGACGTCCGTTCACGTCGCGGTGGTTCAACAGCTGCTCAACTAGATAGCGCTGGCCACCGCGAGAGTCCTCTAATGGAGGTGGAAGAGGAGGAAAGACGCTCTCCACACGATCATGTGGATCGGTGTGTTCCCGAGAGCTTCTTTGATCGCGTAACGCAAGGGTTACGCGACGATCTCGAGCATGAGCGGAATAGGCGTCTCCAAATGGCGGACACTGCCTCGAAGCATCGAGCTGAGTTTGCCTTTGCTCAGCTTGAGAACGAGAGATCTCTGACATCTCTTCGTGACGAGCTAAGGGTAGCTCGTGGGATTGTTAATCGGTCTCGGGATGAGATAGCTGCTCTTCAGACCCTTGTCGATGCCCACCATCGGGAGCACAAGGCTCTCTGCGAGATGCTTGAGCGCAAGGGCGTTCTTCATCGGAAGAAGCAGCGTACTGGTGGTACGGCTTAAGCCGACCAAAGTAAAACGTGGGATGCGTTCGCATCTTACGTGGTAACTCGATCGTGTATGCATTGCCTAGGCGGTGCAATACACGAAATGGGCCAATGTACTTGGGTAGTAGTTTACTGCTACCCAAGTTAGTCACTACATGCTTTGGTAGATTAACCGTAGACAGTAGGACTAAGTCACCCTTATTGAATAAAAGCGTGTTTGCCCTTCCATTCTTGTCAGCGTTTTGCTTTTGCTTATCCACCGCTTCGGCGATGGAGTCTTGCACAAAACGGACTACCGTTTCACGAGCCAGTATGAACTCATCTGATGACTCGTTAGCTTCAGTGTGCTGTGAGCGCACTGCAGCAACATCAACCTTTTCTTCAGTGAGGGCTTCCGCACTCTCACTGGGATCATCTTCTTCAGTGAGGGCTTCCGCACTCTCACTGGCATCATCTTCTTCGATATCGATGTTATCGATATCGGCATCAAATGCAATGACCTCTTCGTCAGAGCGTGATGAGCGTGAACCAAATCGGTTTTTGCTCGCGCGAGTCCCCCCCCTTAAACCAGAGTTACACTCTAGTAAGGTGGGTACACGCAGATGGCGCAAGCCGTTCACGTAAAACGGTGTATGTGTCGTGGACGCATGCACCGAGTTGTTAATGGCAAACTCTACCATTGGCAAAAACTCACTCCAACTCTTAAAGGAGTGTACGTATCCTCGAAGTATCTCTTCGAGGACACGATTGGCACGTTCCGTCTGACCATCTGACTCGGGATGATCAGATGTCGACATCTTCAAGCGCGTTCCGAATGATTTGAACACGGAGCGCCAGAAATCAGCAGTGAAGCGTGGATCTCTGTCTGATACGAGTTCACGGGGCAACCCATGAAGTCGGAAGATGGTGTCAATAAAGACACAAGCACAGCCACTTGCCGTGATTGACTCGGGTACAGCCACAAGGTGTTCTATTTTGCTGAATCTGTCAACAAATACGAGAATACCCGTATTCACGCGTGCGTCTTTGGGTAACCCGAAGACGAATCCATTGAGATGGATTCCCAGCACTCAGCCGGAACCGGTAGAGGCTGTAAAGGTGCACGCAGTGAAGGACTTGACTTCACTCGTTGACAGACTTCGCATGCGCGAACATAGTTTCGCACAAACTGATACTGGCGGGGCCAGTAAAAGTCTCGACTCACCGTGAGATATGTTTTCTCCCGGCCACGATGTCCTCCTATAGGAGCATCGTGATACTCGAACATGATCCGCAAACGCAGATCAGTATCATCTGGAATGACAACACGTGATGTGTCACCAGAAACGGCTGTATATTACAGTGACCCGTTACGAGTAGTGTATCGATCTGATGCAGATCGATACGCAGGCGACAATCGTTTCAACGATTCTCGAGATGGTTGGGAGAGATGTGTCAACAACTTCACAATCTCACCATCTTGGGCGTATGCCCGCCTCACATCATCATACAACGTTGTAGATGGACTGAGGACGTCATAACCGCAACAGTGACTGTCTCACTGTTGGGTTTCGCGACTGTTTCAAAGTCGGGACGACGTGAGAGTGCATCAGCAACGACATTAAGTCGTCCTGGTTTGTACTCGACCGTAAAGTTGTATTCTGCAAAGAATGACAACCGCCGCGCCATTCGTTGTGAAAGGTGCGGGCTGTTCACTGCCGTGCGTAATGACGCATGGTCAGTGTAAACAACGAAGGGTCTATCTCCTAATAGATAGACTCTGAACTTCGCGAGTGCATACTTCATGGCAAGGAGTTCCTTGTCATGCACTGGATAGTTCCGCTCAGCTGGTTGCAGCTGACGCGACTGATAGCAGACGACGCGTTCAACGCCTTCAAAATCGTACTGCATTAATGCACAGCCGATTGCGAGATGGCTGGCATCACAGACCACATGAAATGGTCTGTCCTGATCGGCAATTGCTAGGATTGGTGTTTTTATCAAGCTCTGCTTGATACCATCAAAGGAGCGCTGACATTCAGCGTTCCATAACCACCTCTCGTTCCTTTTCAACAAACGAGAGAGGTGCACAGTCATCTCGGCGTAATTGCGTGAATACTTATGCAAATACGCCGCTAGCCCAAGGAATTTTCGAAGACCTTTGACATTAACTGGAACAGGCCAGTCGGTGATCGCCTTGATCTTTTCGGGATCAGGACGTACACCGTTCTTACCAACTATGCACCAAAGAAGTGGTATTTCGCTTGCGGCAAATATACACTTCTTGAGGTTTGCATACAATTGATGCTTTCGCATGATTGTAAGAACCTGTCGGACGTGGTACCTGTGAACCTCAACGTCCGACTTTCCATCCATAGCTCGACTATGGATGAATACGTCATCGAAATAACTCGGCGCGAATTCTCGTACTGGTCTCAACAGATGTGATACACATCTGTTGAACGTGGCAGGGGCATTACTAAGCCCTTGTGGCATTACTAGCCATTCCCAGAGCATACCGCTAGGCGTGCTAACTGCGGTAAAGGGGATATCCCGTTCTCGCATAAGGATTTGATAGAAGCCATCCATCAAATCCATGGACGAAAAGATGGTACTCCTTGACATACCATCAATGATTACGTCCTTCCTCGGTATCGGCGTCTGAGCCGGTACCGTTGCAGCGTTCAATTTGTTAAATGCATGCACGATCCGCCACCCTCCTGTTGCTTTTCGCACACAGAAGGTCGGAGAGCTATGTGGGGAAGTTGATTCCCTCACATGGCCCGCAGCTAAACGATCGGCAAAAAGAACTTGTCGATCGCAAGTACTTGTTCATGAGGCAGTGGCCACTGCTTCATGACACAGTACTTCGAGCCTGGTTTAAGCTCGACTTCGTGTCGAATACCTTTATCCTTCGGTAATTCGCACGGAACAGTTTCAGGGAATACATCCTTGAATTCAACCAAATCTTCATAGAGAGGATTTGTCTTGAGCGATTCCCATGATTGGGAGTCATATCGCTCAATTCGTGTCTTTTCATCTAGGACACTCTCGTCCATAGATGAACTACTGAGAACTCTCTCGTTCTCAGTGAACACTGTTGCTGACCTTATGTCGGCTACACTCCTCGTCAGCGACGAGTATGCAGATCTGCTTGACTTTGCCACTACGCAGATCACGCAAGAACCTTTTATGTTCGAGCGTTGGCAACTGGGTGATCTCCGAAGTTAACTTCGGAGGCGCAATCAGATTAAGTGTATAAGCGCCTACACTTGATCCGTTATTGACTATGACATTCAATGTCTCTGTCATTTCCTGGGGACTTATTCCCTCAGGCCTCGAAGGACTTATTCCTTCGGCTTCCCGGGGACTTATTCCCTCGGGTTTCGGGGAGCTTATTTCCGCCGTATTTGTAATATCAGGACTTGTTCCTTTTACTTCCTCTAGCTGGGGTTGCGCAACCACAGCGAGATCCTCTACGAAAGACTCTCCAGTCGATCTAGGATTATCGTTTCGCTTAACCTGAGCGATCGATGGTTTCTCTTCTAGATGTTCCCCGCTAGGGATACATCTTTGTCCTGGTCCACTCGACTTATTCGAGTGGTGAACCTTCGGCGCAGCCTGTGTTTCCTCACAGACGCCGGAAGCTTGCTCCGAAGTGTAACCGTTTGTTACACTAAGGTTTGTGCAGTCGTACTAACGACCGTACCACAAGTGAGGACATCGCACTCACTCGTAGTACATCCACACGCTTGTGGGCGCTCCAAAACGTTCATCAGATGGCCATCTGATGAACAAGCGGCAGGCATCGTTACTGTTCGATGTTGCCAGTTTACCCGTGGTTCGTACCTTCTGAGCCACGGTATTCCAAGGATGACATCAAATTTGTCATCCAAATCCAATACGATAAAGTCATCGTCATATTGGGTATCTTCTAGCGTATAGTGGATCTTCACTATACGCTTCATGACGGTTACGGATGCGCCTGTCGCAAGACGTACAGTCATCCTCGCAGGAGGTGTGTCACATTCACTGAACTTAAAGTGACCGTCTTCTAGCGATTGGCGTCGCACAAAATTGTTGGACGCCCCACAATCGACTAGAGCTCGAAGGGACAACTTATTCGTCACTTCGAGTTTCAAGGTAATGAGTGAGACCTCATTACCTAGAGCAGCAACGCACAACGTTTGTGTGTTGGGAGCAACCTTCATCAAGAGGCCCACAAATTCTCTTGACGTTGCTGGACCAGTAGGGTGCTCCGCAGCTACTGATCCTGTCCGTTTTGTGACGGTCCATCCCGTTGTTGCGTCTTTGCACCAACAGCGGACCCTCGTCCCTGCCCCTTTCTCATGGGTGGACGATCACTACGCCCAGTGTTGCGAGACACTGGACGAGGGGCACTACACTCGTAAGCGTAGTGTCCTGTGTTCTGACATCTGTTGCATTTCTGCATTTTCTTGTAGTCTGTAGAGCGAGCCTTCTCGCTCTCTACATAACAGAGTTCCATCGGCTCTGGACCTCCGCTGTCATATCGTCTCGGGTGACGATATGATGTCGAGCTGGTACGAGCCTGTCTCAAACTGAAGTCTTCCTGTTCCGCAATGGAAATGGCTTGTTCTAGTGAATCTAGTTCAAGTCGGAACAGGTGAGTCTTGACGGGACCATCCGCAAGACCCTGCATGAACACCGAAACCAACGTGTGTTCATCCACCGGATTGGAACTTATACAGCTCGTGAGATGTCGTATATGTTGAGCGTAAGCGTGCACATCACGCTTACCCTGCTTGAGCTTCAAGAGTTCGGTTCGAGCCCTGAACTCAGCTCTAGGCGGTTCAAACGTTTGTCTGAGCCGCGACTTGAAGACTTCCAACGACCCAAACGCATATGGGTCGTGCAACTTGAGCCCCAGTGCCCAAGTCTTGGCACGTCCTGCCAGATTTGACTAGGCAAATGCAACTTGCATTTCCGCATCGTCGATGCGACGCGCCCTTATGGCGTCATCCAATTCGACGAACCATCTCAAGAGGGAGTCCTCTT